CATGTGTCCTACTTGAGAAGTACGGGTGGTCTTTTCGAATGCAAGCACTTTCAAGCTCAAGTGCATGAACAATGGCATCATCTCCGCGAGCATATTTCCCAATCTTCTTAGATGAAGTAGATGCAAACAACTTATCTTTCTCAATGCATGAATCATACTCCCTGCAATGAAAAGCTTTTACTCTTTTTGATTTGTCGAGATTATACCAGTACCTTAAAGAAATTCGGCAAGAACTCAAATCAATTATCATTGATACAGATTTAACTTGAGGAAGTGCATTACGTCATTTAAAGAACCTAAATAGGGGAAATTGGTATTAATTTTGAAGTGTTTGAAGTTTGGAGCCCATCTAACCTTTTTCTTGATTGAGACAAAAGCACGCACAATCAATGAATATATCGGTTTGCACCTACACGTGCTCTAAATTTTGTAGCATCTTCTGTTATTTGAAAAAAAAAAAAAAATGCTACTTTCTACTATGAACATGGAAAGATGCACTTAAATTGCATTCATCAACAAATAAAACCTTTAATGCACGTGAATTGCACGCATTTATACATGCAATGTATGAATACATATATCGTATTCATGTGCAATCATTTGAAGGAGATGTATGTCATGAAACCACTCCTCGAGTCCTCTCATTCTTCTTGCTACCACCTTGTTACCTTTCCAATCATTTGTGGTTCTCAATGAACTAGATTGTTTCTTAGCTGGTCCTGCACGTTCCAACTCCTAGAATGATACAATGGATGCTAACAGTTTCTATGTTGAATCTTAAATCATCTTTTGAAATATTGAAATCCTTGTCAATTTTTTTTATTTGCTTCATTAGAATCAAATGAACTCGGTGATGCATTAACATCATGATGCTCCCACGGACCCCGCCTTGTGTATATATCCTGCTTGAGAAGTACAAGTGGTATTTTCAAATGTAACCACTTTCAAGCTCTAGTACATGAATAATGGCGTCATCTCTGCGAGACATATTTCCCCATCTTCTAAGATGAAGTAGATGCGAACAACTTAGCTTTCTCAATGCATGAATTGTACTCCCCACAATGTAAAGCTTTTACTTTTTTTGGTTTCTCGAGATTATACCACCTTGAAAGACAAGAAATCAAATTAAATTACCACTGATACATATTGAACTCAACTAATTGCATTATGGCATTTAAAAGTACCTAAACAGGGGATATGGGTATATAATTTAGGTGTTTGAAGTTTGAAGCCCATCCAACCTTTCATCAACTAAAACACAAGCGTGCACACTCAGTTAATTTGTGAGTTTGTACCTAAAAAAGTACCGAATTTTGTAGCATCTTCTGTTAAATGTAAAATTACTTAACATGCTACTTTCTACTAAGAACTTGGAAAGAAGTACTCAAATTGCATCATCAATAAAAAATAAAACCTTTAATGCACAAGAATTGCACACATTTATACATGCAATGTATGAATACTTAACCATATTCATGTTATTTATGTGCAAGCATCCAAAGGACACACAAGTACACTCGTGGATACATGACAGAATGAAAATTACATAACAAGCTACTACTTGCCAAGAACATGGGAAGAAGCACTCAAATTGCACAAAGTAACAAAAAATACCTCTAATGCACGTGAATTGTACTCATTTATAAATGCAATGTATGAATAATTAATAAAAAGATGAATTGAGAGTCGGCTAAACTTTGCCAAAGTAATTAGTTGAGATAGCTCAAATTTTTCATGAAGTTAGTACTCACCCTTGATTGTGAGATAGCTCAAATTTTTCATGAAGTTAGTACTCACCCTTGATTGTAAATGCTCTATTAGGGTCAAATTCGTCAAGGTAACTTTGTTTATGGCCTATCATGTAGGATATATAGAGTGGACTAAATTTTGCTTAGAAATTTTTTTGAACTAGACAACATGATCAAAATTTTTTTTTTTGGGACTTCGATATGATCGAATTGAGAATTATTTTGTGTTAATTATAATTTAATATGCCTTCTGCTTTAGATAAGAAATTGTAACATCCTTAAGTTTTATAGAATAAGATTATTTAATGATAAGGATTTTTGACCTAGATGCCTTTTAATAATTTTGAAAAAAATTGAGGTATTAAAGTGAAATAAGTATTAATTCTTTTTATTTGGGCCAAATTATTAGATTTTGATAGAACGGGTTTTAGTTATCAATATTGGGTTCGTTAGGTAGTTCGTATTAAATGACGCATCATGGACTTGAGAAAAGTTAATTAGGATAAGTGAAAATTATATGGAACCAGATTTTTTAAGTTACTATTTCAAAAATCAGATTTAAAGTTTGTTTATATAAAAATAAGATAATTCAATATTAATAATAATATTATAAAATTAAATTTCAAACCCATTTCATTTTTTCTTTCTTTTCTCTCTTTCCATTTTCTCTCTACTATTTCTTATACCCAATTTTTTCTCCTTCACCGGCCGTTATCTTTCTTCTTTCACTCTCTTCTACCCATTTTTTCTTCTTCACCGGCGGGTGCAGACGAGGCGGCGTATCCATCGCGCTGAACAACCGTTGTGAGCGGAGAACCTGTCATCGTTTGTCACTAGACGACGCTTGAGTTCTTCCCGCATAGTGGCAATCTGGTCACTGCTGTGCGCGCCGCTATGATCTCGTTGCTCGTAGCGGCAAGCTCAGAGCATGTTGCCACTGTGCGCGACACCGTGACCTTGCTGAGCGCAGCGACAAGATCAGGCACTTGCGATTTGGTACCGCAGTGTTTGGTGATGCAGCGACCTGACATCGATGATGGTGCTGGAGTTTGGTGTTGGGGTGGTGTTGTGGTTTTGCATTGCTGTGGTGGTGCGTTTGCGTTGATATGGTTTGTGGTGGTTGCTGTGGTGGTGGTTTTGCACGGTTTGGTGAGGTAGTGGTGGTCATGGTGGTTGTGGTGGTCGTGGTCATAGGTAGATGGGATGGGATGCAGGTGTTTGTGACCAATTATTTGGTTGATTGCAACCAATAATTCGTTACTTTGTAACAAATAATTAATATTTAGAAATGTGATTGTGACTTACAATCTATTAAGTTGTGGCCAAGAAATTAATTGTGACCAATTATTTGATAATTTGTGATTGGTGAATAATTTGTAACATAAAATTTTTGATTTGTGATATAAAAATAATCTGTGACATATAAAATTTTTGATCTGTGATCTAGAAATAATTTGTGACCTATAGAATTTTTTATTTGTGATCGAAAAATAATTTGTAACCAATTAATTTGATAATTTGTGATCAAATTATATAGATTTGTGACCTTAATGTATTTAATTAATAAAATATATTTTTTAATTAATTGTTTCATAAATAAAATTTAGTAACATCTGATTTTTAAAATTTTAAACCTTATTTCTTAGTTTTCAAATGAGTCATAGTTAAATTCTTATATATAAAATTTTTTCCTTAGGATAATTTAAGCCCAAGTTATTGAAGTTCAAAAAAAAAGTTATCTTTAATTTGAAATTAATTAAGTTGGTTTATGATTTAATTTTTATGGAAGCCACATGTTTATAGGATAAATGTTGATTTTGATAAGTTAATCTCCTATTTTAATTTAGATTAAGGTTAATATTAATCATATTTTGATTTTGATAGAGTTTAATCCTAATTTGATTAAGACTTCATTACTCCAAATTCTATCACTAGTATACCAAGTCAAATGGAACCGATTTCAAAATAATTTCCACGTGTTCTATTTTGATATAAATCCAATTATATGATTAGGATTGGTTGAGTATTTTAATTAGGAAAACCATTAATATGATATAATCTTAATTCTATTATTTGAAACATATTCTTATCCTAATTCCTTGAATGAAACGATTTTCCAATTCTAGTTGCATACAAACTCAATAGTGAATTTCAACTATAAATACTATAAGAATTCTCATTATTTCATCACAGAAAATAGAGAGCCATGGCAGAGAGAGAAAGAGAGAAGGAAAGGAAAGGAAAGGAAAAAGTGTAGAAAATAATAGGAGAATTTTTACGTACAAGATTTTATCTTCTTTTCAATCTTTCAATAACAAGGCAAGATACTTATGTAGAAGTGGTTTGTTTTCATATACCTTTATGAATTCGGTCATTTATGCATGAATTGTCAGTGGACCTTCGGGTTCTTTATAAAGAAATATGAAATCCTTTAAGAATTTAAGATAATCTGAGATGGGTGTGTCGGTTGATCACCGATATACTCCATAAAAAAAGAGTGGTATGAAGTGTTTAAATTGATTGTTATATAATTTTGCATGAAAACTGCACGTATCTTGCCAGATATATTTTTAAATACTCGCTCTTACAATAATTTTATAGGTTAGTTAGGGTCGATTGTATTTGTGGCAAGATGGTGATGCCGGCTTTCAAGTGGATCGAAGAAAATAAACATTACGTTTTTCTATATTTCAATTTATTAGTTAATCTAATTCATTCAAAGTCATGTTATGTAATTAGTTAGGTGATTTTTTTTTATTTTTTTGATATGATTTCCATGTTTTAGTTTAAATTTATGGATATTCCAGATATTTTATTTTAAAGAAATTTATTTTTTTTATTGTTTTGTATTTATTGTAAATAAAAGAAAGTTTCTTGGTAATACCCTGGTGTTTACAAAAAATAAAGAACGCATTGATTAAGAGTAGTGCAAATTATGATATTATTTTCTCACTTTGGGGTATTACAAAAATTTGGAAAAAGATAAAAAATAAAGAACACATTGATTAAGAGTAGTGCAAATTATGATATATTTTCTCACTCGAAAAACAATGCTAAATTAACAAACGTGCAAAAATTAAGTAGTCTAATATGGAAAACCCCACTATATTTCAAAAAAGTCAACTAAAAATTCAAACTCGATAACATCAACCTCTAATGTCACAGTCAAGTATTCATAAACCTTTTCTGTAGAGATATGTTACCGATCTTCCAATGCCTAAAAGTATTCCCAACAATATACAATATCTATCACTAAAATTATTAAATAGATTGAACCGTGCTATGTGTATACGAAAAACTATCACGGGAATTACAGGGGGACACTTGGCATTTTAATTGAGTGTTGGCAAAAAGGCCAAAAAAAGGCAGTTATTCCCCTATACAAGGTGAATAACTCAATTAGATTGACTTTCTCAGGTTTCACGGTCAACCGTTTCCCATTGGTTATATACAGGCAGTCACACATGCACAAATAGTGTAAGAGATATTACACCGATAATGTGCATATTATATTCATCAAGAACATGCAATTAATATGTTGGAAATCGAAATATCATTCGACTTACCGAAATCTAATTTGAGAAGACAAATTAGTGAATTACCGACTTCGAATATATGAATATGGATTCATCACTTTTCAATCTTGAACGCATGTCATTCTTTAATTCAAACCTTATCATGAAATCAAAAGAATATTAGTTACTTTCCGAAATCAAAATACTAAATTAGAATGAAATTGGAAAAAAGAAAGATGAGATGCAAGTGATGCGATCGGCCGAGGCAAGTTTTGACACTTTGTCCTTGGGATGAATTTGCCTCGCATCGGTGCTAACGGTTTCTTGACAATCATCTCCCAAGATACAACGGATACGTCAAGCCATAGGAGCACTCCAAATGACTTAGACAAAAGAACTTGAACGGAGTTCCCTCTCTACCATAACCATGATCTTGATGCAAGAAATAATCACTTCTACAAAGTGTTTTATGCAAAACTAAATTGTAAACATGGAATGGAACAATATGAAACTATCAATTGAATTGTATGTTCTAATCCAAACACATGGGGATCTATATAGAGTAGTTGGAAAGGTTTGTCAAAAGACACAACCATACCAATAGACACATCTCTTGAAATTAAAATACATAATTATTGGAAGTTACTCATACCAAAAGTCATGATCTTCCATATGAAAAGACACATCTTTTCATCTACACATTTTCTAGAATATTTCACAATATTCTACACGATTTTTTCAACAATTTCAAGTATTAAGTGGTTTAAGTTTGGCTTAATTTCTCATTCATCAAAAAATGAATTTCGCTTAAATCATTTAAATTGGTCACAACCAATTTCCGATACAAAATTCCAACAAATAGGATTATGAATTGCAGAAGGATGGAGATGAAGTTATCTCCTCGAACATGATTGAGAATTTAGACTACTGATGTCATTAGTGAGAAATACCAGGTACAAGGTTCATTTCATATACACTTGTTTTAAACTAAAAGAAATTTGGATATATGTTATAGTATTTTAAATATATCAAGTAGAAAATTTTCTTTTATATATAGGAGGACGTATAAATGTCTTTTGATTTGTCAAAATTATGGATGATATTTTCCAATTTCCAAATTAATGATTTAACGGTGTAAGAAATTTATTTATTTACTATTGTTTGAAGTGAAATAATAATATGTACCTCCACTAACATGTTACATAATTTCAATTTTAACAACCTTACTCAATGGCTACTTTTTCAACACGTTAAAACATTGCTACTTTTTACAATTACGATAAGCACTCATACTGCACATAGCAAAAATGAACTCCAATGCACGCATATCGCACACAAATTTATACACATAAAACATGAATGAATAACCACAAAATATAGTGTGAAAGTTCTTTCAAAACGAAATGAAGTGGTAATCACCAAACCATGCTCATAAAATCAACACTTAATCAAACGCACAGTTAGGTGCCTTCACGTTCTAATATGTGAGCACATAACCAAAAACTCATCAACTATTAAACAAAAACGAAACTCAAATCCTTATCATCCAGTAACGGACGGCTTAAAAAAGAAGAGCTGATATTGGAAAAGAATTTTACCTTTCAGCAAAATCATAAATGGGGTACACATCTGGTAGTATACATGTGCTCAATTAAGTATATGAGAATTCAGTGTTTTTTAGAGAGAGAAAGGCATATATGAGGCCCTCTTGAGGGTAAGTTGGTGATAGTCTCAAAAGAGGTCCAAAGAAGCGGTATCTGGGGTGGGGACTAAGGAGGCTCTACAAAAAAATAGCATAGCCCAGATAAAACTGATACTCCCTCAGCTTCAGAGAATCCAACAAAAAGAGGCTTATAGATGGGCAGAAGAGGAACAGTACAAAAGTCAGAAACCAATCAATTACAGTGAGTAGGGCAGCCCACACAATTTTATCTAGAAATCTTAAGGGATATTTGGGAGTAGAAAGAGTTATTTCTGCTAGTGACAAGTCCACAAGCACAAAGAAGTGGTCTCAATCTGAACTTCCCACCATGCTAACGGGAAAAGCTACAAGAAAAATCTTCAAGAAGCTACACCAGTGGAGCATTGCTGCTGAATTGGAATATGTTAATAAGACGAGCATGAACATGAAAAGGAGAAGCCATAAGCCGTTAATGCATATGAAGATTAATAAAAAAAAATGTGCTAAGTTTCTTTGTTCTAGCACAAGTCTTCCATATCTGATTGCACTAGTAAGTTAAATGCAAATGTTAAAGAAATTATGTTGAAAAGTGCATTATAATCAACCAAACCCTACATCAAATGGCGGAATGCTTTCCCATTGGATGGCAGAACCATTGATATTGCCCATAATGGCCGTGATTTCTATCTCAACTTCCCTCCACCAAAAGAGGTTTGACACGTCCTACTTGCCGCCATCTGTGACTACTTACTTTGAATATTGCTTCATTTGAGCTTTAAATTGAGTGTTTTTTTATTTCTTACATGATTTAGTGATCGATGGAGTTTAAGTAGTCATTCTCGAAGTTCACTTCAAATTTTACCTTTTAAAGATTTTCCCCTATTCCATTTACCTTAAATTTTTCTTCTTGGGTTGAATTTGTCCGACCTCACTAGTTTTGGTAGACAAGGGAAAGGAAACATTTGACACAAAAGTTTATCTATTTTATGCAGGGATTAGTAACCCAAAAGATTTAGGATGTTCAGAGACAAAGGTTACTTTGAATTGAGTTTTTTTTTTTATTTTCAACTTCCATTCTACAAATCAAGTGCCGTATTTCAATGCACCAGACTTGTACCATTTTTTTGGTTCACAAAAATATTTTGAAACCTTTAACTTAAGTTGATCGTGTGTAAAATTTCTAGTAAAATTGTGGAATAAGTAAATATTAGAACGCTGCAACTTTTTTACGATGAACATGAGCACTCAAATTGCACACTGCAAAAATGAACTCCGATTCATGCGAACACACATTTATACATGGAAAACATGGATAAATAATCACATAATATAGTTTTAAAAGTGCTATCAAAATGAAAAGAAGTGATAATCACCTAACCCAATGTCCAAATGAAATGAAAACATATAAGTTATTTTTTTCCTTGTATTACAATCTTTATCCAATCTGGCCATGGTATCAGTCATCAGCCAATGGTGGCCAACAAATTCCCACTCATCAAATGACTCCAGAAACAACCCCTTCAACTCAGTATGTCCCCCCTCCACCCTGGTCCAAGGGATGCGACGACAGCCAGCTTTGCCCAGCACATGACTCCAGAAGCTGCTGCCAATTTTCATTATATTCACGTCCGTAATCATCAAAATCCTCCTAAAATTGCCAACAATTTTCAGTGCTTTCCCAGCCCGCTTCCAAGGAACCAGACACCCATCAAGCACTATCTCCACAATCCTGCCAGCAATTCTCTATAGATCCCAGTCGTCATCCATCAAGACATGAAATTTTTTAGTGTCATGCAATAAGTGCATCAATGGTGTCGCTTGAAAGAGATGTATGTTACTAAGACCACCCCAGGTCCTCTATTCATCTCATTCCCCTCACTACCATCCTAACATCCTTCAAATCATTTGGAGTTCTAAACGACCTAGATTGCTTGTTACCCTGACCTGCATGATAGTACAATAGATGCATATAGTTCCTAATCTGAAACTAAATCATCTCGTGAACTATTTGAATCCTTGTCAAAATCCTTACTTTCTTCAATGAACTTGATGATACATCAACCTCAAGATGCTCCCATGTACCCCGCCTTGTGTATGTGTCCTACTTGAGACATACGGATGATCTTTTCGTATGCAAGCACCTTCAAGCTCAAGTGCATGAACAATGGCATCATCTCTATGAGCATATTTCCCCGTCTTCTTAGATGAAACAGATGCAAACAACTTGGCTTTCTCAATGCATGAATCATACTCCCTGCAATGAAAAGCTTTTACTCTTTTTGATTTCTTGAGATTATACCGGTACCTTAAAGAAATTTGACAAGAACTCATATCAAATTATCATTGATACAGATTTAACTTAAGGAAGTGCATTACGTCATTCAAAGTATCTAAATAGGGGAAATTGGTATTAATTTTGAGGCATTTGAAGTTTGGAGCCCATCCAACCTTTTCTTGATTAACACACAAGCGTGCACACTCGATGAATATATCGGTTTGCACCTACTCGTGTTCTACATTTTATAGCATCTTCTGTTAAATGAAAAAAAAAAAACTTAACATGCTACTTTCTACTATGAACATGGAAAGATGCACTCTCATCAATAAATAAAACCTCTAATGCACGTGAATTGCATTCATTTATACATGCAATGTATGAATACAAAAATTGTATTCATGTTATTTATGTGCAAGCATTTGAAGGAGATGTATGAAATGAAACCATTTCTCAAGTCCTCTCATTCTTCTTACTACCACCATATTACCCTTCGAATCGTTTGCAATTCTAAATGAACTAGATTGTTTCATAGCTGGTCCTGCATGATCCAGCTCTTTGAATGATACAATTGATACTAAAGTTTCTATGCTGAATCTTAAATCATCTTCTGAAATATTGAAATCCTTGTCAATTTTTTTTACTTGATTCACTAGAATCAAATGAACTCAGTGATTCATCAACATCATGATGCTCCCACGGACCCTGCCTTGTGTATATATCCTACTTAAGAAGTATGAGTGGTATTTTCGAATGTAAGCACTTTCAAGCTCAAGTACATGAATAGCGGGGTCATCTCTACAAGACATATTTCCCCATCTTCTAAGATGAAGTAGATGCGAACTTAGCTTTCTCAATGCATGAATCGTACTCCCCACAATGGAAAGCTTTTACTTTTTTTTGGTTTCTCAAGATTATACTAGTCTCTGAAAGAAATTCAACAAGAACTCAAAATAATTTATCACTGATACAGATCGAACTAAATTAAGTGCATTACGGCCTTTGAAGTACCTAAATAGGGGATATTGGCATATTATTGAGGTGTTTGAAGTTTGGAGCCCGTCCAACCTTTCCTTGACTAAAACACAAGTGTGCACACTCGGTTAAATGTAAAATTATTTAACATGCTACTTTCTATTATGAATTTGGAAAGAAGTACACAAATTGCATCATCAATAAAAAATAAAACCTTTAATGCACAAGAATTGCACACATTTATGCATGCAATGTATGAATACTTAACCATATTCATGTTATTCATGTGCAAGCATATGAAGGACGCACAAGTACACTCGTGGATATATGACAAAATGAAAAATTACATAACAAGCTACTTCTTGCCAAGAACATGGTAAGAAGCACGCAAATTGCACAAAGCAACAAAAAATACCTCTAATGCACGTGAATTGTACTAATTTATAAATACAATGTATGAATAATTAATAAAAAGATGAACTGAGAGTCGGCTAAACTTTGCCAAAACTAACTAGTTGAGATAGCTCAACTTTTTCATGAAGTCAGTACTCAAGCTTGATTGTAAATGCTCTATTAGGGTCAAATTAGTTAAGGTAACTTTGTCTATGGCCTCTCATGTAGGATATATAGAGTGGACTAAATTTTGCTTAAAATTTTTTCAAACTAGACAACTAGATCAATTTTTTTTTTTTGTGGACTTTGATATGATCCAATTGAGAATTATTGTGTTAATTATAATTTAACATGCATCCATGAACATGTTGTATAATTTCAATTTTAACATACTCCATGGCTACTTTTCAACATGTTAGTACATTGCTTCTTTTTACAATTACCATAAGCACTCAAACTGCACACAGCAAAAATGAACTCCAATGCACTCATGTCGCACACACATTTATACACAAAAAACACGAATGAATAATCACATAATATAGTATGAAAGTTCTTTCCAAACGCAAAGAAGTGATAATCACCAAACCATGTTCATAAAATCAACAATTAAACTCAATCAAATGCACAGTTAGGTGCCTTCACGTTCTGATATGTGCTCACATAACCAAACACTCAGAAACTATTAAACAAAAATGAAACTCAAATCTCTATCATCCAATAACAGAAGGCTTAAAAAAAGCGCTGATATCGGAAAAGAATTTTGCCTTTGAGCAAACTCATAAATGGGGTAAACATTTGGTAGTATATATGTGTGTTCAATTATGTAGATGAGAATTCAGTGTTTTTTAGAGAGAGAAAGAGACATATATGAGGCGCTCTTGAGGGTAAGTTGGTAGTCTCAAAAGAGGTCCAACAAGGCAGTATTTGGGGGAGGGGGACTAAGGAGGCTCTGCAAAAGAATAGCATAGCCCCGAATAAAACTAATACTCCATCAGCTTCAGAGAATCCAACAAAAAGAGGCTTATAGATTGGCAGAAGGGGAACAATGCGAAAGTCAGAAACCAAACGACAACAGTGAGCAGGGCAACCCATACAATTTCTTCTGGAAATATAAAGGGATATTTGGGAGCTGAAAGAGTTATTTCTGCTAGTAACCTGTAAAAGGTCAACGTATCAATAAAAGTTACTGCACTTTACAGCAAAAGGTCATTGCATCAACAAGTCTTTCCACAATCAGAATCCAGGTCTGCCTGCTGCATCAGGAAGTTCCAAAAGTACAACAACTTCAGCTACAAGAGCAACTGAAACTGCACAGAGTGTCCAGACGATGAGAGTCTCAAGAGAGGGGCAAAGAGACAGTATCTGGGGCTAGGAATATGGAGGCACTGCAAAGAAATACCATAGCCACATATAGAACTGAAGCTCCCTTAGCTTAAGAGAATCCAATCAAACAGGGGTGTATGGATGGGCAGAAGGTAAACAGTGCAAAAGACAAATCAAACGACAAGAGGAAGCAGGGCGGCCCAAACGATTTCATTTGGAAATCCAGGGGAAAATTTGGGAGCTGAAAGAGTTATTTTCTGCTAGAGACCAGTCCAAAAGCACAAAGGAGTGGTCTCAATCTGAACTTCATACCATACTGATGGAAAAGGCTAAGATAGAAATCTTCGAGAAGCTAAACCAGTGGAGCATTGCTGCTAATTTGGGACCTGCAAATAAGAACATAAACATGGAAAAGGAGAAGCCATAAGTCATTAGTAAAACGAAGATTAAAACAATAAATGTGTTGCATTACATTGTTCCGGCAAGACATCCCATGTGGCCCTGTGCAAGTAGCACCACTCATAACTCAAATAGATTGGCTTTCTCAGGTTTCACAGTCAACTATTTCCCATTGGTTATATAATGGCAACCGCATAGACACAAATAGGATTATGAATTGTAGAAGGATGGACATGAAGTCATCTCCTCAAACATGATTGAGGATTTAGACAATTGATGTCATTATTGAGAAGTACTAGGTATCGGTTCATTTCATGTATACTTGTTTAAAACTGAATGAAATTTGGGTTGTGTACATTATAGTATTTTAAATATATCAAGTAGAAAAGTTTCTTTTACATATAGCAGCATGTATAAATGTCCTTGATTTATCAAAATTATGAACGATATTTTTCAATTTGCAAATTAAAGATTTAGAGGGTGTAAGTAATTTATTTATCTACTGTTTATTGAAGTGAAATAATAATATGTACATCCACGAACATGTTATATAATTTCAATTTTAACATCCTTATTCCATGGCTACTTTTCAACATGTAATATAATAAAAAAATTGGACCTTCTATACAAATGTATTTTTCAAATAAAAAACTAGAGCATTTCTACTTTTTACACCATAAGCACTAGAACTGCACATGCCAAAAATGAACTCCAATGCACGCCTATCGCACGCACATTTATACACAGAAAACATGAATGAATAATCGCATAATATAGTGTGAAAGTCCTTTCAAAATGAAAGGAAATGATACTTGCCAAAACCAGCCAGTTGGTGATAGTCTCAAAAGAGGTCCAACAAGGCAGTATCTAGGGTGGGGTGTAAGGAGGCTCTGCAAAAGAATAGCATAGCCCCAGAAAAAACTGATACTCCCTCAGCTTTAGGGAATCCAACAAAAAGAGGCTTATAGATGGGCAGAAGGGGAACAGTGCGAAAGTCAGAAACCAAACGACAACAGTGAGTAGAGCATCCCATACAATTTCATCTGGAAATCTAAAGGGATATTTGGGAGCTGAAAGAGTTATTTCTGCTAGTAACAAGTCCACAAGCACAAAGAAGTGGTCTCAATCTGAACTTTCCACCGTGCTGACGGGAAAAGCTAAAAAAATCCTCAAGTAGCTACACCAGTGGAGCATTGCTGCTGAATTGGAATCTGTAAATAAGACGAGCATGAACATGAAAAGGAGAAGCCATCAACTGTTAATGCATCTGAAGATTAATAAAAGAAAAATGTGCTACGTTTCTTTCTTCTAGCAAGCCTCAAAAGTCTTCTATGTGTGAATACACTATTAATTTAAACAACCATGTTTCATTGACAGAAAAGTTTAACATCTTCCTTGACAAAATGCCGTCGTTGGATTGTTTTAAAAACAATCAATTTTTATATCCAATCATTTCCTACCACCAATGCATCTGTCAACTAGGATGTATATATTTCGTGGCAACGTAGCTTAATTCTAAGTTAAATGCAACTGTTAAAGAAATTGAGTTGATGAGCGCATTATATTCAACCAACCCTACGTCAAATGGTGGTTGAAACCATTGATATTGCCTGTAATAGCCGTGATTTCTATCTCAACTTCCCTCAACCAAAGGAGTTTTGACACGGCCCACTTGCTGCCATCTGTGACACTTATTTTCAAATATCGCTTCATTTGAGCTTTAAATTGAGTGTTTTTTATTTGTTACATGATTTAGGTTTTGATCAAGTTTAAATAGTCATTCTTGTAGTTCACTTCAAATTTTATCTTTCCAAGAATTTCCCTTTGTTCCATTGACTTAAAATTTTCCTTTTGGGGTTGAATTTGTTCAGTCTCACTCTTTTTTTGTAGACAAGGGAACATCCTAAATCTTGACCACAAAAATTGAGTTTTGAGTAGTTTTGGATACATTTGTCACAACAGT